CGAACGCTCCAGGATTTGCGCAGCAATACTGATGTAATGGGAGGAATGGTGGTTTTACTGGCTGGTGACTCTCGCCAAACTTTACCTGTCATTCAAAAGGGAACAACTGCAGATGAAATTAAAGCACAACGTGAACAAGGTGACAAAATTCAGTTTAACTACAAATATGAGAGTGCATTTGTATAATGATATCAATGCTGGAAACTATGCTGACACACTATTAAAAATTGGCGATGGGCGGTTGGAAACGGATGCTGAGGGCTGCGTTAAATTGACGAGTAATTTTTGTAATTTAGTACAGAGTCATTCCGAATTAATTGCGAGCGTTTATTCAGATTTAACGAACAACATGCATGAAGACAAATGGTTATGTGAAAGGGCGATTCTTGCACCAAAAAATGAGAACGTTAACAAAATAAATTCAGATATATTAAGCGAAGTAGCAGGAGAAATAACAGAGTATTTGTCAGTAGACACAGTTATGGACACAGAACAGAGCACTTCATATCCCGCAGAGTTTCTGAATTCTCTAGAGTTGTCAGGTGTGCCCTCACATAAGCTTTAATTAAAATTAGGCGTCCCAGTCATGCTAATGCGAAATTTAGATGCTCCTCGGTTATGTAACGGGACAAGGCTGCGTGTGACACATCTTGGACGGAACATAATCGGTGCTACAATTTTGACAGGCGTAGGAAAAGGTGAAAATGTTATTATACCACGGATCCCTATAATTCCCACAGATCTTCCTTTTCAATTCTATTCTATTATATTCTGCAATAAAGGTTGCAGTTCCCTATTAAGCTCAGTTTTGCAATGACAATTAATAAAGCGCAAGGGCAAACGTTACAGGTAGCGGGGGTCAACTTAGAAAAACCGTGCTTCTCTCATGGTCAGCTGTATGTAACATGTTCGCGTGTGTCAAATGCCCAGAATCTCCACATAATTTCCCCAAATGGAAAAACATATAACATTGTGTACAGTAGCGTCTTAAGATCTTAAGGTCTTCAGTTAGATTTATTTTTCCAAAATTCCCACAATCAATTAATCAGAATTCCCACAGATCTTCCCTTTTCAATTCAAAATTTCCTATTTAGCTCAGTTTCTTTTCAATTCCAAATGCTGCACCTCTGACGGACCTATTAGGCTCAGTTTCCTTTCAACTCAAAAGGCTGCATCTCTGACGGATCTTTTATTTGGCTCAGTTTCCTTTCAATTCAGAAAACTGCATCTCTGACGAATCAATTTAGCTCAGTTTCTTTTCAAAAGTCTGCATCCCTGACGGATAATTATGCTCAGTTTCCTTTAATTAAAAAATATCCCATTTCTATTTGAAATAAACAGGCTATTTTCATGCTTTCCTATACGCTGCGTTTGAAAACATTTAAATAGGCTGACGAATCAATTTTGCTCAGTTTCCTTTTAATGGCTGCATCTCTGACAAAACTATAAAACTCAGTTTTCTTTCAATTCAAAAGGCAATGAATAGTTCATTTCCCAGTGACCATGCGGGCGAGGCCGCGGGTAACAGCTAGTCCTTTATAAAGTTCATTAGCATGCTCACGTTAATATATTGAGGGTAAATATTACACATATGAACATTACGCATAAACGCTGCTTAAATATAACGTACTACCTATGGTACCGTGCGTTTCGTGTGTTTTGTTTACAGTGCAGTTCTACTTAGTTTTTGAATACAATTATGTCCACAAATACTATCTTTTCAAAATCAAACATTATATAAGACACAGGAAACTTTCAGTTTTCTCCCAATAAAAGCTTTTGGGGTTCAGTACATTTACCACTACCTAAGCCACTAACATGCGTGTTCGTCGTCGATGAGGCGTTCGATTAACTGAAATTGTGTTGAAATAGTATCCACAAATCATAGTCGAGATGTTGCCAAAACCTAGTTCACTTATCATAGTCTCATTTTACTTTTCAACTTTATTTATCTATAATATGCCTCTATCACTCTTGCTAAAGGTCGCTCCACTAAAAATGAAATTAAATAGAGTCCACTGCGCATGTACAATCAAGCAGAAAAATGAAAATTTTATTATGGCATTTTAATAATATGTAAAAAGTCAAAGGTCAACATTATAACTACACATCAGTCTCCACGAAAACGGAACGATATATTTATATATCATTGTTAGGTTTTAACCGCTTCTAAATAATATTCTGCATTTTATGTACACTTAGTTAAAGAAATAAAATATTTTTTATTTATATTTTTGTATTTGTAATTGCTGTTTAAACTATATTATGCGATAGCCTTCGATTATAATGATATTTTACATGCAATAATTTTCAAAAAAAAATCATCTTGTAGAAAATAACAAAATATTTACAAATTTATACAATATACTACGAATTACGCTATTTTAAATAGTCCCAAAATAATTTGTAAAGTAATAAATATTTGCGCACTATTTGAAAATATTATATACAATATTTTTAAAAGTACAAAAATAATCGCAAAAATTTAAAATTTTATAACAGGTAGTCGCTAACACTTTCGATATCGATAGTACGCAAGACGACACAAGGTGCGCGGGGGACGACGCAGGAAGAACCGACGTTGGAGTAGCGCGTCGCCCGTTGCTATGGTTTCGCTTCCCCGTACCTGAAATAGTTCAAAAGCTTTAATGTGATTTAGGATCTATATATTACGTATATTACCCGTTATTTAATAAATTTTAATATGGCAAAACGTCGTTCCTACTATAATTGTTGCGTGGATAGACGCTAAATGACCAACAAAATATTTCAGATATATCATTCTTTATTACCGAAGGATTTTAGTAGGAAGTTATGAAACGTGAATTTATTTAATTTTTATTATTAGATAGGTACTTATAGCAAAAAAGAATTAAGTAATAATTTATTTAATATCTACGAACTTTATTACAAAATTTAGTGGAAATTTACTTCACTATCCAAGTATCTACTTACGTTACTTAAGCTGTTATTTTAGCTTAAAATATTTTAAGCTAAAATAACACAAAACACTGAAATCAAAGTAGAATACGATTACATTTCTGTTAGCAATCGTATTTCAAGTTTATTTGTTGTTAACACTATCTACCCTTTCCTTCCGAGCCAAGCGTCGCGATTCCCGACGAATGGCCTTGCAAGTTGCATGCGTTAAGCATCGCAGAACTGTGGTGTAGGTGCGAAAATATAGTCTGTCGATCATAGACAGAATGGGTGTTTTACCTAAGTAACCTAATTAATATTTCGCAATGTATTGTGTTACTCTTTATTGATATCCCTCCATAACAACGGAAAGTCCACCGTAACGTAGGAAGAGGAAAATGTGCAAAGTAATACGGACACTCTCGTGCAGCGATAAAGTTTTATTTAGCTTGCGAGCGCGATTTATCTAATTAATAATAATTATATAGGCTATTAAACGTCGGCAAGCAGTCAACATTAAAAAAGTGAAACTTCTGTACGTAGTACTATTATTTATTCTGTGTCTATAATTCGACGCATTGCTTCTTGCTTAATTTCAATAAATGTTTTGATATTTTGGAAATATAAGATTATAAGCACAGAAAACAATATTTTTATTGCTCATAAACATTCGGTGTTTATACGGCGAAGTTTCCTACTGACCGATGCTTGCGCTAAACGCAGCGTTTGACAGCGCATTGACTTTAGGCATTTGCGTTCACACACATCAAGGAACCCCCTTTTTTTTACATGGGGAAATGCCTACGCATACCCGCCTCGCGGGGGGCAAGGACGGGTTATGTCGGACTCGCACCGACTAAAACCCCATGGTGTTCCACCTTCCTCGCATATTGGCAGGGCTACGGGAACACTTTCGCACACATCCGCGGCCCTACCAGCGACTGCCGCCCCATGGCAGCACCTCCTCGGGAGAGGAATATTCCTCCCCGTTCTCCTTCCCGAGTAAGGCGCACCAGAACACATGGCACGCCTTCCTCCACGGCCTCCAATTGCATCTGCGCAAGAGACGCCCCAGCGTCCGATGCGCGAAGGCCATGGGGCCAGGAAAAACGAGCACTTAGAAGCACTAGCCTTCCCGACCCCAGCGGCGGACAACCAAGATTCGGCTGCGAAGGATAGGGAGAGCGGCGCCTCGCAATACCGACAATCCTCTCCCCCCGCAGCCCCATCACCACCGCATCAACGGTGCGGCCCCGTTTGAGTCGCGGAGGATAGGACGAGTGGCGCATCGCCATATCAACACTCCTCTTCCTCCGCGACTCCACCTCGGCTGCAGCGGTAGAGGGTGTGGCGTCCCCACTCGCTGCAGTCCACCAGCACACATCCGAAGTGGGCTCCCCAAGCCCACTCGGAGTGGCCACCTCAGGCCGGCCCTTCACCTCGGGCCAGCAACGTGGGTTCCTCTTTGTTCACCGTGGGAGACCAAGCCACGGCTACTAAGCCCCCCCGCCACGACAAGGCGGGAACCCGTTCGGGGGGGATCAAGGAACCCCTGCGTTAATACTAGAAATCTCTCCCTATACTTGTCCATATTTTATAAGCTATTTCAATATCATAATTTTCTATAATTTTTAAAAAAAACTTTTCGCCAATAAAGATCAAATTTTAATTCTTATTAAATTTTACAAGAAAATTTCCAACTGAATTAAAATCATTTAATTTCAGTTAAAAATAAATCTACTTTTTTGCTATAGATAATAAAATGTCATGTATATTATTAATTTTTATAACATTTTTCACATAAAATAGATTTTCGTTAGTCTCATTGTCAGTAACTATAGATAATTTATGTGATATCCTGTTAATCGTCTGAAAACTATTTGAGGATTAAATATCTCCCTGCCAGTAATTAACCTCATAATAGAATTGTATGGTACGTACATAATTACTAATGATATATACTATTATTCTATAGGATGATAACACGTAATGTATATACGTGTATGGTACGTATATAATTACTAATGATATATACTAGTATTCTGTAGGATGATAACACGTAATGTACAAACGTGCTTTAGGACGGCGACACGGCATTGCACGAGGCTCTTCGGCACCACACGCTGCAGCAGCTGCGGCGGCTGCAGGACGCACGAGACGCGGCGGCGCTGGGTGCGCTCGCGCACGCGCATGACAAGAAGTCCTCCGCCTCCATCGCTTGCTTCCTTGCCGCACATGGCGCGGATCTCACACTGAAAAATAAAAAGGGTAACCAACATAATGTTATGGAAATTTCGATCTTGTGAAATATTTACTAGTGGTGACGATTTTACAAGTGCTATCCGCTTAGGTAAGTTGAGATACTATCGTAATCATTGGTCCGTTGGTTTAAGCTGTCGTTAAAATCTACGTAAAACTTTGCTATGTAACGCATCAGCATAATGTGAAGAATTTTGTGATTGAAAATTTTAATTAATCTTAATCTTAACCAAATACTAAAATAAACCCTTTATTTCTGTCACTTATTTCAAATAAAAAATGGAAAATAAGCGTCCTTTTACAAAACAAACTTTAAAACGAGAAATCTTTCAGTAGAAAATGATATATCCCAGATCTTCAACTGGTTCCCGGTAATTGCTAATAAAACTTTTTCGACAAGCACAAAAAGTTTACGGTTGTTCGCTTTTATACGGGCACCTATTTGAAAAGAAAATTTATTACGTTTTCCTTCTCACTAAGAAAAAGTATCGTACTTTTAAAGAATTGGACATAGAATTTATTTAACTTAATTGCCTTTTATATTCTATATTCTCTTTAGGTGCTTAAAACCCCTATTGCTTATTGTTGTATTATGACTGCAGAGCAAATAGTGCATTTTTAACCAGGGAAAAACCACTCTTTACATAATGCCAGCGTAAAATAACAACTGAAGTGTGTTTGCATGACGGGTCTACCGAAGAACCTCTTAACTGGTAACAAAGCATTCCAACGTAGTCCTCCGGCGTGACAACACATATGAATTTAAGTTCTTTCTCAAAAATAATTTGGTATTTAAAAATCATAGCATCTTCTCACCATCAAGTGGAAAGTGTCATTCTTCTTTTATAAAAAAAATAGTGCCATGGTAGGTACTGCCTTAATGTTACCATTACAGCCTATTAAATTCCACTGTTGAATATAGGCCTCCCCTATAGATTACCTCGTAAAAGGGATATTTGCCATAGTTGCCATGCTTTGCAAGCAGGTTAGCATTACCGCCGTTTGTTTTTATAGTCGTATAGTGCTACCCATCTCCTGTCATCATCCCTCATATCATCCCGTAGGTATGATACCCACGGGATGATATGGGGTAATGGACATTCTTACACCACCACTACACGGTAAACTACTACTTTAAATAATAATAAGCCTTAAACGGCCGACGAGCCAGTTTGTAGGTAACGTTGTAGTTTATTTCCTACGGAAGATCAGAACAATAAATATGATCATTAACTATCTTGTACAACAGTAAACTATCCTAAATTCTCCTACAATTTTTCAGAGTATTAAGCTTAATGTATGTATTCTAGTGTGGGGTCACCCAACACTGCGCTGGCTAGTATAAGGCTGTCACTCGAGAACCTTTCTTCTCCATCGGTTGTCGGTTCTTCGAGCTATAGCGCCGGGCCATTGCCATTTCAACTTACTGATTGACTGGGCTTTTAGCTCCCAGGAAAATTGCGAGCATAGCCCTTTCCGTCGCACGCTGCGTGATATTAAGCTTCCTTATACGTCCAGTAGTGAAGGGACACGTTTCTGTTCCGTAAAACAAATAGTAACCATCTGTATGTATAACGATGATTGGCAATTATAAATGGAACTATTAAAAATATAAAAACGCGCTTCCGTTATTAAACGACAATTTGCGTTACATTCATAACGTCCAAAATTAATATCCTATCTATCCATAAGTTAAGAGAGAATTATGTAGAGATAGAAATAGATACATTTATTAAGGTATATTTGAATGAATGAATATAGATCACAAACAAATATACAGATAACAAAACAAAAGCAGATTATAATATGTAAGTACAATTTGGCGGCCCTATCGCTACATAGCAATCTCTTCCAGGCAACCAAAACAAAAATTATGGTATATTTATGGTCTTCCTAAATACGATTATTTTTCTTCTTTTCATACTCAACTTATTGTCTGCCTATTCGTCATCGCAGATATGTTAGACTACTCTACACTTTCTCACACTTGTAAACGGTCCCTGTACTCCCGAGTATTTGAAATCTAATTTGCAAAAATTCTTCTAACTCTTCTCTCCATTCTTCGGGTAATCATAAGTTGATCACGTTATTACAAAGTATTGGTTATCTCATATCTCACCTCTTGATATTAAAAAAGGTCCCAACTAGCTCGTTTTAAAAAATAAAACCCGTAAGCATGTTAAACGAGTGGTAAAATTAAAACATGATCAATGTAGTGGAAGTCAATTCAATACGCATCATTAAGGATAACTCAAAAACTACTGGTCAGATATTGATAATATTTACATGTGACATAAGAAGCACCAGCTTTTAAAGAGTCATCAAAATCAGTTCACTTACAAAAAAGGTAAACACATAAAAAATATACAGTCGAATTGAGAACCTTCTCCTTTTTTTGAAATCGGTTGAAAATCGTTGTAAGTTTGAATTTATTCAGTTTCATATGAAAAATAATTTCTTATTTGTAGAATAAAAAACAAAGATAAAAATTATATAGTAAAGTAAAGTAAAGTTACAGCCTATATACGTCCCACTGCTGGGCTCAGGCCTCCCCTCATTTCTGAGAGGGTTTAGGGCAAGGAAGTGTCCGCCGCGCTGCCCAAATGCGTGTTGACGAACTTCACATGTCTTCGAAATATATTTTTTTTTCTTATTCCTCAGACATGCAGGTTTCCTCACGATGTTTTCCTTCACCGCCGAGCACGTGGTAAATTATATAGATGTTAAATATTAATTAGATGTCACAAGTACTTTTGTACATGTTGTGTTTATGTGACATTTTAGACATTTAGTCCACCATGTGTGTAGTATACTTTTGTGTATTAAAGGAAAAATAAATTAATAAAAGCATAACTTTTTAATTTCAGGTCAAACTCCACTAGATTTATGCCCAGATCCAAATCTTCGCAAAACTTTAACCACATGCCGTAAGGAAGGTTCTGGAATGACAAGTGACGGTACGCCGGAGAGCGAAGCTAGCTCAATGGTTGTATCTAACAGCGGTGCAACCGCTTCCACAAGCACCGCTGCACTAGAAGCATCTAGCGGCGAACCAAAACAACCTTCCGACCCGACAGCTGACGAGTGCCTCGTATGTTCTGACGCAAAGCGCGACACCATGTTTCGTCCCTGTGGACATATATGTTGCTGCAATGTTTGCGCTGCAAGGGTAAGTTTTCTTTTAAACTCTGAGTTTATTCGTAAGGTAATAACGTGGCCACGCGGAGTCAAGGACGGGTTATGTCGAGCTCTCACGTACCCAACCACTCAACGGTGTTCCATATTTCTGACATATTATCATGGCCACGGTTAACACCTTACACGCACATCCGCGGCCTCACCATCACCCTTGCTTCTTGCGCCGAAACATTAAATATGACTACATGTATATTGATCAATGTTTTCTTCCTACATGACCGTCAAGTAAATACATTTTGAGTTATGTATAAAAAAAAATCGTGCAATATGTAGACTTCAGATTTGGTAGGCGACACTTAAAACTTTTTGATTTTATACAATACTATACAATACTTTTTACTATAAACCATGGAAATATAAACAATACAACACATATACATATTGAGAAAAAATAAAAGGCTTGTTAATTGATAGAATCAGGCATTACTTTGCGGAAATCCATTATAATAAAAAATATAAATATAAATTTCTTCGCAACCTTCCGCTAAATATTTAGCGGAATTATAATTAATGTAACTCAGCCGTAGATTCCATATATTCACAAAAGCCATAGATTCACAATCGCCTTTAATTCGTCATTATCGACCAAAGATTGCGGGCGACCCCAGGATCTATTTTTCAGGTCTAAATTTCCAAAAAGGCAAAGCAATAAAAATAAAATTTGTAGTATTGCTCAATAAACGTCGTTAATGTTGCGTACCGCTTGTTGCCACGTTGCTGTCACGACGATACTCATATCCATAATTTCTCGTTTTTTTAACGTATTCATGATGACGAAAAAGATTTAAATGCGATGAATAACATAAAGCTTATCAATAAATAAGACTACTATTAAAAAAGAATTCCATGTTTTTAAAACTAAATTAATTTGATTTGAAATGGCCAGTAAGTACTGATAATACTATTATATTCTTAAGTAAGAACGGCAAGTTCATAGGTAAAGACCTATTATATATTACTTACTATACTGAAGCATAAAAATAAATAAATTAAAAAAATTAAATATAGGTATGTAAGTAATGATTAATAAAAAATAGTTCTTAACCCTCTCTGACCGATGCATATTTTATCGATATCTTTTTTCACATGACATGAGCTTCTTTCTCAGTAGGCAGAACTTTTCGTATTTGAAACGCTTGGCAGGCAGAATGTCAATCAAAATACGAGACCCGCACCCTTGACGCTGCTGGCCACACCTGGATGCGGCTTGGGCGTTATATATCTCTTATAAAAAGTCTGCTATTATATTTATTTATTAATATAATTGAGATACGTGGTATAGTCAAACTGCAAAGGCTATAACGTGAGCTATAATCAGTACTTAGTACTTTCTAGACCTGCATAACTGCTCTCACAAAAAAGGCTATGCAGTCTGAATATATGGATTTGCCAAAGGTGTCGTATTGTTTGAAAATTTTGTCAGAATTTTGAAACTGTACGGAGCCTTTTCATATGCTCTAATAGCAGATGGATCCAATTCTTAAGCCAGCCCGATCCCGAAGAAAGAAAATATTATTTGTGTACGAAGCTGTGGGCGAGACACCAACTGATAATCCTAAAGAATTGTTTAATATGTACGTTTTTTACCCTGTGATTGATACAAAAAGTGCATTGGTTACTTGACTTAAACTATCAAAATACGTGTTCATTTTTATACAAAATGAAAATTATTCGTGAAAGGTCAAAAAGCCTGTGTTGATTTCCAAATCAGTTGAACAGATAGGCGTAATGTGATTTATCTAGTTGTAAATTGGTTCAGGAACTTATGAGCTTGAACCCATTATTTAAAGATCTTCAATCAGTAGAGCCACATAAAGTTCTCAAACTTACTGAAAATAATGATTGGATATTTTTCCCAAATGTGTAGACAGCACTTCGTATCTTGCTGACTATACCTGTACTATAACTGTCGCTAAATGGAAACGAAGTTTTAGTTCATTAAAACATTTAATAATTTACCTAGATTTCTACCGTGTCAGGAAAGACTGTCATATCTTAGATTTTTTCCATTGAAAATTCTATTGCCCAGAAGGTAAAAATATTCGGAATTAATAAAAAAATTGATAATAAAAAAGCTTTTCATGAAGTTTGTCGTTGGTAGTTCTTTTATCTGTGTAACACTGTCTGCAGAACACAGTTTAATTAAAAGTTGTCAAACAAGATTATTAACTCTTATTATGAGAAATAATCTGTACAACTAGTCACCGCAGCAAGGCAAGAATAGTGGCGTTGACGAGCGCAACAGAGTAGTGCGAGCGGAATGGACAACATTTCTTTAACGCGAATAAGCAGAACAACTGCTATGGCAAGAGCGACAGACACAACTGTGCTTGCCCCGCATATACACCTGTAGATATTTGATAGGTCTAATCGTATTTAAAATCACGAAAAAGCAACTACATAGTATAGGAACACTAAGATGTTTTTATATTTTAAAATTTTGCCAGGGCCGCCACTGATCATGCATAAAAACAAATCGATCTCTATAAAAAGGGTAAATAGCACTACAATTTCTTCCAAAATCTTAGTTACATATCATGGCGCTGTTAATGACCTATTCTCAATGACGCGGAGTTACGTACGTGCCTCCACCATACACCTCTTTTCCAATGATGTTGCACTTATCATATCACATTTTAATCCTCCATCATCTGGCTTTAGGCAAAATCTGGCCTCATCTGTAAATAGAACTCGACTCCAAACTTTGTCATTAAAATTTTCGTTTTAATGACAAAGTTTGCAAGCAGTGACGTAGCATGCATTAGACGGGCCTTGTATCAAGATTTGTTGGGGGACCCAAATGAAGGGTCTATATATAATAGGTGTTTTTGTTTCTTTTGTGTTAAAGAACAACAAAACACCTATTAAATTAAAATAATCATATATTGGTTATAAGTTATTAATTATAATTAATACTCCTAGGAACTAAGCTAGCCAAACAATTCAGATCAAATATACACTTTTCTTGCCTTTTGTCTCGGCGAACTTATTAATGCATTCATAGCTGAAGACGATTTTAGTTTTTCTTTTATTGTTTACAATTTTTTTATACAAATTAAACTTATCATAAAATACAACAGGAGACCCCACTTCTGATTTCGTAAAAACATTAGGAAACGTTTATTAGTATAGACTATAGAGCAATTACAATTCAACCATACCATAATATGTCCCTGTCAAAATTGCACACTGGTGTAACGTGAAGGACATAATCTATATCATATATAATATAATAAAGCAGAAGAGTTTTTTAGGGTTCCGTAGTCAACTAGGAACCCTTATAGTTTCGCCATGTCTGTCTGTCCGTCTGTCCGTCCTCGCTTAATCTCTGTGACCGTTAGCACTAGAAAGCTGAAATTTGGCACCAATATGTGTATCAATCACGCCGACAAAGTGGTAAAGTAAAAATTGAAAAATGTTTTATTAGGGTATCCCCCCTATATGTAAAGTGGGAAGTGATTTTTTTTTAATTTCAACCCTAACGTGTGATATATTGTTGGAAAGGTACTTAAAAATGAATAGGGGTTTACTAAAATCATTTTTTGATAATGTCAATAATTTCGGAAATAATCGCTCCAAAAGTAAAAAACAATGTGTCCCCCCCCCCCTCTAACTTTTGAACCATAAGTTTAGAAAATATGAAAAAATCTGAAAAGTAGAACTTTATAAGGACTTTCTAGGAAAATCATTTTGAACTTGGATGGAAACAACAGTACCCACTACCGGGAGCAGTTGCAGGAGCGCGGAGCGCTGCTGCAGCGCGAACATAATGGATACCCACCTTTAAACTCATAAGTGGGAACACTTATTGTGATGGACGGGAAACTATGGAACCCTACACTGAGCGTGGCCCGACACGCTCTTGGCCGGTTTTTTTTTTTTGTTTGTTTAAACACGCTAATCTCTGGGCTAAACACCACGCTTCGGTATACTTTTTGAGGCGCAAGTTTTACGTTTACTCGAGAGTGGGAGAGAGAGTGAATAAAATTTTACTTCGCTCTATGACACATACATAATTATGCCGATAGATAAAAGAACTCCATTAATTAAGCTAATTTTAGCATTTATATAGCAATGTATGCAACATTGCTATCTAAAATGCTTGAACTAGATGTCATGTTGTGTCGCTCGGCTCAGCCGCGTGATATATGCGGGTGAAACCGCGGGGCTCAGCTAGTTACATATTAACAACAAAGTATGCAAACCAACACAAACACACCCATTCCAACGTAGCACAGGGCAGTCTCTCAACAACACCATCTTTTTTGCCTGCACCAGAAGAACTACCACAACGGACAGTAAAACGACATTATCTTAGCACTCGTAGAATGACTTCACTCGTAGAATAACTTAAGTGGAATTTTCTTCCCCCGAGCGAACGCGCACGGCACCTACAGTGAACTTTATACTGCAAAAACGAGAGAGGGAGGTGGTTCGATATACCCACAACTCCAACTTGCTACCATTCATATAACGCTCCGTTAGAGTGACGCTACCTCTCGCTCACTCTCGATCCAACCGACACTTTATAAACGTGCCTACAAACTTACTAACCAATAAATAGTCACAAGGACAAGATTTTATTACAATGTGATAACATTTGAACCGGATTGAAATAAAACGATTAAACATTATTTTCAGTGGTTTGTCATTGTCATTCACTTAAGGCCGAATACGAAGAGAACTATCGAAACTTTATGTATTTCTGTTCACTAGAACTTTGACCTGAAGTAATTCTAAGCGTTAAAACATTTTTTGTAGGTTTATTCGGTTCCTTTTATTTTTATTACCAAAGAGAGTTTATCGCAAGAACGCTGCTCGAATGTGGTAAGTTCTATTTTGAGGTTATATTTTTTGTAAGGTACTTTTTTGTTAGAGGCTGCCTAATAGGCTGCATTTTTACTAATTTACATTAGCCAAACTGGTCATTTATACGTTTCTCGGAAAGTGATAAACTCTCTTTTTCTCAAATGTACAGAGTAGTGCAAGCACAGAGACCGCAAATAATGTCATAGTTAATGTATTGTCCGAAAGTATGGGGTAAGTACATAATTAAGAAAAACCGACATACTACGGGTGTGAAGTGATTAACCGGTCGAAATTGTCTTGTGAGAATTAACACACCAGTACCTAACCCCACTATGGGACAAACATGAACTTTTTAATTTTTTTCTTTATTATTTACGGCGTCTTGTAAAACTCACAAGAACAGTTTACAATTCAGTTACGTGAAGTATTTTACGTACGATGCGCCAATTCAGAAAAAAAATCGATGTCAATACAATAATTTTTCTTTACAGAATAACTACTTTACAGAATTTATAATCTATAAAAAAAAAAATAAGTATGTTTGTAACAATAAAGTACAGAATTTGTAATCTGTAGACTAATATTATAAATAAAAAAGATTTAATTAAGAAGTAAACAATGCTCTCTCTGTTATTCATTACTCTGCATACTAAGCTAGCGCACTCGTACGGCTACGTGATGTTCGAAAGACATATATATATATATATATATTATACTAAAGAGCGCTCGGTTCGCCACGAAACGAGCAAGGTCATTCGCATCGTATTCGGCCTTAAACGGGGGAATCCCGCAATAACTGATGCTGTGGTCGCGACGTGAGACTTTCTGTGTTGCCAACTTTTGGACGCCCGCTTAACCCGTGGGAAAAGAAATTCCTTTTTTAACTTTCGTAATTTTGAAGTGAAAACTTCTTTAAGCACGGTGGGCAATTTTTTATGATATGATTTTTGTCGTGAAGATTATGGATAATATTTTAAGAATTTTTGCTTATACACATTCGAGGCCCCTGTAGCCCGTGGGCCCCGTATCATTGATAGTGCTGATACGGCGGTAGCTACACCTCTGTTTGCAAGCAAAATTAACTCGAGCTACTCGAAGGCATGTGGCCACTGGTGGGCAATTTTCACAATTTTATTCCGGCCGATTTCAAACTTTTTCTCACAGTTTTTGTGCTTACTGTAACAATTTCGATAAAAATTCTTGGAATTTCGTTTTTACCTTAAAATAAGTTAATCTTTTCATAGTTCCGTGTACCACACATAGGTCATTGCTATTGTGTCTGAAAACCGGACAGTGAAAGTGCTAAATTCCGGTTTCTAAGCAAGCTGGTAACGATGAACCGGTAGTCTCTAACCACAGTTTTCCGTGTACGTCCCTGTCCTGCGAGTCTCCTATACTGTCCGATACTACTTGACAATTCGGTGTACCACATATTTCGATACTCGTAATATTTGGGGCCAAAGTAACAGCCCTAGCAATTTGAGTTCCGTTTAGATCTGGCATTATCTTTTAAATATCGTTTATATAAGGCAATCAATGCAAAAATGTAAACAAAACCTAAGTTCAAACTCAATTTCTAAAGTTGGCAAAATGTTTAGCAGTATGAAATAATGCAATATTACGCAATAATTACTATAAAAATAACATTTAATAATGTTTGAGGCCCGTACGTTAACTTTATTAGTATTTATTAGTTAAAGTTTTTTTTATAAAACTGAAGTATCCAACGAACTTAAAGTCCACCTGAGGGTATAAATGACTACCGCAGCCATTGGAAACTTGCAGCTAACTTCAAACAAATAAGGTCGTTGTCACCTCTACGAACTGAGATCGAATGCCTTACAGCCTGTATTTATACAGGGACCAGGTAACAGTGTGACACATACTCAGACGACCTCGCACACAGAAATGGGGTCCTACCACTTCATACATACCGTTCATACATAAGCTTCAACAATTGTTAATATAAAGTCGCTGAAAGAAACGCTGTTCATAAAAAAAATTATATTGAAATAATACTAGTTTTTACGGAATTTATCGCGTATATTTAACTTTTTAAATACCCGACGTTTCGAACGCTCTACAGCACTCATGGTCACGGGCGGGACTGAGATGTTCAACGTCCATATGTCATAGTTAACCGCAGTTACCATAGATTAAAATTTAACTTTTGTTCCGATCTATGCAGTATGAACTTATGGTATCGTGAAGTCTAGCAGTTGTATGCTTGGGTTGGGATTTAATTTACCAATAAATAGATCGCTCCCGTAGATTAGCTCGTAGAGGCGTATTTACCATAGTTGCCATGCTTGGCAAATGGGCTTGGCGACTGCAGTTTTTTTAGTCGTTATTAGGAAGATGCTGCTGCCCATCTCCTGATATTTTCCCTCCGTCGCCTGGCACCTCTATGAGAAAAACATTTTAAAGTACTTGCTATTTTCTTTTGGAACCCATTCTTTTCTATTTATTTCTTTTAACCATTTTTATCACACGAGCACTTGTTGAAAAAGCACACAACTGCAAGACTTCAAGATACTATAAGTTCATAGTAGAACTAAAATTATAATTTTAATATGGAGATAGCGGTGGTTAACTATGACATTGGGACGTCGAACACCTCAACCTGATCCCCCCCCCTCCCCCGTGACCATGGGTGCTGTAAAGTGATCGAAACGTCGGGAATATAAAATAAGTTAATATACGCGATAAAATCCGTAAAAACTAGTTTTATTTAAAATTCAATTGCATTGCGTTCAGATGATTATTATTATTATAAAATATGATAATTTTTCCTACCCACTTAGTACAAATTGTTTGTAATTGTTCTAAAACACAGTATTCAGTCAGCTAAAGATTTCAGTCGTACCTACGGGTTAAATGTATAATAATGTGGGATTTGTTTATGAGATTAGTTATATTTAGGTACTACGCACCTAGTTATTAATTACGTCTATTATACACAAATTTTCACTTTGAAAGATTATCCAAATACAAGCGGGATTTGTTTTGTCCACGATTGACATCAGGCCGATACAGGCCGAAAGCGTGTATGTGAATAGCATATCTTTCTCGCTCTAACATACGCGCAGGCCATGCTCTTTCCCTTTTGCATTATCAAAAAAAATCTTAATTAACATTACAAATTCCTTTAACCACTACTGGAAAATGCTTATGTAGGAGTGGTTCAGACAGTATAAATGGGGCCCATCTTCATCCAAATCTATTTTAACGTTAGTTTATACTAAATTTATGATAATAACAATGTAGACATTTAAATATAGCGCTAGAAATGTACCCGCAGGTGAAGAAGTGCCTGGTGTGCCGCGCGTGCGTGAGCGGGCGGCAGCGCGTGGGCGAGTGCGTGGTGTGTTCGGAGGCGCCGGCCACGGTGGTGTTCCGGCCGTGCGGCGACGTGTGCGCGTGCGCTGCCTGCGCGCCGCTCATGCGCAAGTGCGTGGAATGCCGCACGCCGCTGCAGCCGCAGCAGCCGCAGCCGCAGCCGCCGCCGCAGCAGCCGCAGCCGCAACCGTCGCTGCCGCACGCCAACCTCCACCGTGAGTACTGTGCACGCGATAACTCTGCAACTTCATGCTGCAGCACACGATTTTTAAAGTGAAAACTTCTTTAGACACGTTGGGCACTTTTGGCATAGAGAAAAAGCAATGAACTCGTGTAACCATCACTCTCAGTTACATATATATATATATATTTGTGAAACTAAGAAGTTTTTACTCATTTTCGCATATACCTATCATTACTTTTTACATGTTGTGCTGCATGCTTAATCTGAAATAAACGCATTTCTTTCTTCCTTTCTTTCTAACTCCATTTTTTATAGAATAAGGGTAATAAGCACATAGTCCACATGAACGTAAGTGGATGCTGTGGCCCATAGACGTCTACATTTAACTTCGATTAAAAATCAAAATGCAGATGCGTTGTCACCCCTGGGGCACAGTTAATTAGGAACAGTTAGGAAACTCCCTACTAACGTTCTAAACGGCACACTCACACAAACATATACAATTACGAGACTCCTAAGCGGACGACGCTGTACTCTCAGTAGCGAATGCTGCGTCAAGACCAGTGGTCAAGGGGCGTCACTTTTTAAGTTTATCTCCGCGATCTTTTTAAAAATGCTACGAACGTATTACGTATGCTCCCGACAAAACTTGTAAAAAATGTGTAATGACAAAGTTAAAGATCTATAGCTCTACAACTTGTTGTTTTTTCAAACAATGGGTGCGTTTGGCAGAAAAAAGCGCTAGCAAGCGCTTATAAGCGCTGAAATAGTTTTCGGTCAGGACACGATTGCTACTTCGGTAGCGCTGACACAATCCGCCATTTTGCTTATCAAGCGCTTGCTAGCGCTTTTTTCTGCCAAACGCACCCAATTTCATATTAATATAATATGAAATTGTTTTCCATTTTTAAACTATTGTCTATTGCTGAGATTAACCGACGCCATGAAATTACCTACTTAAATTGTTTTTTTAAGCTAATTATTAAAATTTCAATTTCAAAATTATGTCCTCAACTGGACTTAGTTTCCTTACTGTACATATTTACAATGTGCCTGAGGACTGAGATGGAACTATCCATACATTATAGTGCATCACAACTTCATTGCCGAACATCGACCGATACCATTGCATCTATCGACTACCTACCTAAGATAACCCTCCATCTACTGGAAGGTCGCTCGATCGCAACAATTATTCGTCAAAAATCTCTTTATTATGGTATAATCTCTTTAGTTTACTACCATATTATAACTTAAACATTTATAATAATTTTACTATTTTTTGGTCACATCATTCCGATTGTTTCGTGTGAAGCGGCAGAGGGAAGTGATACAAAAGAAGGTCAGCGGTATCTTCCCGATAACAACTCAACTTCTCAAAATAGTTTTAAAAACCTCCGGATGCCAATCCGTCTAAGAACAACAATGGCAAAGTCTCCCTATGAAGCAATTCATGGGGGAGGCCTATGTTTAGCGGTGGACTTATAAGCTGAATGAATAAATTAATGGATGTAATCTAAAGCGTTTGAAGCATGAAATACGCCTCATATCACTATTATCTACATAATTAATATTTTTATTTTACTATTAATATTTTTTGAAATACCTTTCTCGATTCAAAGATTTTAAGGCTAAGAACACACGGAGCGATTTTCACTTGTGCCCGTCGCGATATTACTAATTTATTTCAAAAATTACAGTTATTTAAAAACACTTGTGTGGTTTCGTATCCGCGTTATCAGTAGCACCCGCAAACTTGGCGAGAACTGTTCGCCCTACTTGCGTTCAGTCCGGGCGCTGTGCGGGTTACTGGCGATAAATCGATTACCACTTAAATCCCAGGGCCCTAGCGCCATGAAAAACACCAAAAGCTATCTTTAAATGACCAAATAGTGCGCAGGTGACCGTGGCCTGCACAATTTCATACGTGGTAGAGCCATGCTGCAGTTATATTAGTAGTATAGTTGTAGCACGAATGGGTCGGCTCGACCGGGGAAGGACCACGCTCTCACAGAATACCAGCGTGAAATAGTAGCTTAATGCTGCTGTATTTCGTATGGTGAGTGTAGACCCTTTTTACTGGAAATGAGGCATTCCATCTTAGTCCTCACGGGTGACAACGCATCTGCATTTTGTTTTGTAATTGAGGATACATGTAGATGTCTATGGGCCGCAGCAACCACTTACCATCAGGTGGACTGTGTGCTCGTTTGTCACCCTATCCTATAAAAAAAAATATATATTAATTGCGCGCCAATGCAGTGGCAGCTGCAAACAACCGCATGCACCGCGTGCATAAATCGCGTCATGAAATTTACAAAGGACCTATCTATACCTACATTTCTTTTATTTTACGCGTGCCCCGGCAACCTCTGCGGGCGTGAGTAAATATCGCTTTATTAGTTTCATTGCCTTAATGTATAACTTTAACTTTGCTAGAACCAACATTATTTGTAACTTATCATTTTTTGAGGTTAACTTAATTTTTAGTGTTGTTCTTTTATTCGAAATGACAGAAGGGACACTTACAGAAATAGTGATGGAAATCTAGAAAAAGTAATCTAACGACTCAGAAGCGCAATAGTTAAAACTTTATTGTTTTTCATTATATATTGTTATTATTTCCACAATAACATGTCAAAGATAACTGTTTAAAAAAATAAATTTTAAAGAAGCTATGAAGCCGATTACAAAATTATTTGTGTGTGAAATGTCAGATACTTCAAACGACAACTCTGGTTCTGTAACTTACTTTTCTAATAAACAAAGTAAAAATATACACAAAGTTCAAAAACTTTATTAAACTAAGTTTGTTAAATTGGTTATTATAATATTAGGGAATTTGTGGATGATAATAACCCCTAGGAAGGGTGATCGCTACCAAGCTATAAAAATGTTATTATAATATTTGGGAATTTATGAATGATAATAACCCTTGGGAAGGGTGATCGCTATCAAGCTATTTCTAATTTGTTTTGTGTTGTTAATTGTAACATACATGATTTTAAGCTGTTATTTAAAAAAAATAGTCCCACTGGGTTTCATTCTGGTTCTTCCCAGGCCAGAGGTTTTTTGCGAACCAGTTGTAAATGAAAAAAAAAGACTTTCAATAAGTATTATTTATAATCTATAATGAATAAAATAGTTTCTGTTAATTATTGATTACTATTAAAATATCTTTTTATTTCTAAGTAAATGGGTTTTCCCTGCCAATGATTGATGGTAGTCATAGCGCCGTAATTGTGTTTGCCATCCACAGTGGAGAAGGAGAGCAGCAGCAACCTGGCACAGGTGCAGGTGAACAAGGGCCAGCCCGCACCGACGCAGGCCGCGCCGCACCACATGAACAACGGACTGCGCTCGGCGCCCCCCGGCGGCCCCCCCCGCCGCACCCCCTGCTGCCGCCGCACGGCCCGCGCCGCTGGCACCGCTCGCACCACTCGCACCTCTCGCACACCCCGCACCCCCCCGCACCGCCCGCCGCTGACGTGCAGAAGTTGCAACAACAACTACAGGACATCAAGGAACAGGTATTAAAAACTTACAACGTGCACAGGTTTAAAAATAAAATTGAATATCGTTTACAAATAACTTCACTTCCTAAATGATATGTTTCATGATTCGTGACACGTCACTGTTTTTACATTCATAATTTATTTGCTTTAAATAACTTTTATCTATTTTTACAACTTAATTCCGTCATAACTTATAACATTAAATTAATAGAATTGAAATAAAATAAGTATTTATGAAATAAACATATTTTATTAATTTATTTTCATAGTTAGTTATAAGAAACTTAACTAAAATATTAATTAAATTTATAATATTTACGATTAATACTAATTATATACAATATAAAAAAAGAAACTATAATATATATCCAATTTAAATAGTCAAAAAGATCTGCTCCCCGTGGTATAGTGCTAAGAACGCTGGCTGCGTTTCCTCGCTGAATAGCTACACTTAGCCTTTGAGCGAGGAAAGAACCAGCACTCTTATCACCAGCGGTGACGCCCAGTCGTGGATACAGTTCCTTTAGAAACTTCACTGCACGTGGACCTCACGGACCGATGGTCTCTACAGCAAATGGCACAAATATGTAGTCATTTCTCAAAGACTCATATTTGAATTTGAATTTCATTTTATTTGAATTTAGTCAGATGTCAATTTCACAGTCCTATTCTATTCTTATCGTGCACCCATCGTTCATAACTATATATTATACTGGCTTCGCACGGGTAATTTCTGGATCTCGACAACAACGCTACCTACCGGATCCTAATGTGAATATAAACCATCTAGGGACCCATTCCAACACATACAAAAACAACAAAATGTCATCGAAATCGGTTGCATGGTTTCAAAGTCTATAACGGACATAGGTAAAAATATTTTTTGTTTTATACAGTTTGATTACAAGTACCTAAAACTTTTAAAAGCTGTCTGCTGATGACAGCCTATTTTAAGTCAAATTGGATAGACTACTAAACTTTAAAAATTTATCCATGCTTAACACGCTTGTCATCCATGTCATGCGATCATCCGTGTTGGTGAAAGCAAGACCCTTGAAGCACTGATAACGCTGTTCCTCGTTAAAGGCTAGATCATCTAATGACCATAACACACACGCACACACCTTCATCATCATCATCATTAGAGCCCTTCACAAGTCCACTGCTGAACATAGGCCTCCCCCAAGTAATGCCACATAGCAGCTGTATTTCAGGTCGACCCCCCAGGTCGCCCTACACTACCCCTGCCGGTACGAGGCTGCCACTCGCGAACATTTCTTCCCCATCGGTTATTGGTTCTTCGAGCTATATGGCCGGCCCATTGCCACTTCAGCTTACTAATCCGTTGGGCTATGTCGGTCACTCTGGTTTTACTGCGGATATCCTCATTTCTGAGTCTATCACGCAGAGAAACTCCGAGCATAGCCCTCTTCATAGCTCGCTGAGCAACCTTGAGCGTCCTCATACGGCCAACAGTGAAGGACCACGTCTCAGATCCGTAAGTCATCACTGGCAACACGCACTGGTTGTACAATCTAATTTTCAGAGATTGAGGTATACCTGACGAGAAGATGTGTC